CTTGGAGTTTGATGTAGCAACACAATTTTGGAAAAGAACCTTTCTTATGCCTAGACACAGACCAAAATGAACCAGCATGTTGTTTATTTTTCAAGTTAGCTAGCTCACAAGATTAGCATATATATATATATATATATATATATATATATATATATATATATAGATATATGGCAGCAGCCATCTTGGATTTTGATATGGCAAACCAATGTTTGATAGGAACTTCTCTTACACCTTGATATAGGCACACACCAACATGGAAGTTGATACCTCAGTTATCTTTCAAATTATCATGCCCATGTGCGTTTGCCTGTCAACAAAATATCTCATAACCACTGAATAGATTTTAATGAAACATATACAGTAATCACTGGATGTACATCTATGCTTAAACAACCTTTGAACCTAATGAAAGATGGCCACCATAGACAACTGACCGTATAAAACTCCAAATTGGTCTCCAGACTTTTGTATGATGCCAGATGCTTTGCTACAAAGCTCTAAAATTAAATTCTGGTCTAGCTGAAGGTGCCACTTCTAACTGCCGCTTATGCCGATGTCGAGCCTAACTGGTTGCAATCAGGATTACTGAAGCTAAAAAGTCATATTTCCACTCTGCAGTGACGATAACTCTCTGCTGCTCTCTGTGTCCATGACAACGCCAAGCCGAGCAAAGTGATCTTAGCAGAACGGAGCCTTTTCTACACCTTGTTTTGAAATTCATCCTGTGCAGTAAACCATTTGGTGTTTTGACTTCAATGAAGCCATTTTCATAATTTTGCACTTTTTTATTTACCTACATTTCAAGCGTACAGCTACAAAACCTGCAGCACAAACGAGACCTGCAATGTGTATGTGTGAGTAAGAGACCTGTTTTATTTACTGGTATTTATTCATTTTCTTTTTGAGTCTATGAACCCTCTTCTCTCACTCGTCATTTCAGGTCTCTGATGCTGGACATTAGGAGCATGTCGTCATGGTAACAGCACCATAAAATATCCATAACAATGTTTGTGGGAGCTTGTGGAATTGAAAAAAAAAACAAAAAACATAAATATAGTTGTTTCATTTCCAGTTCCATATTTGAATGAAACAAAACCTGTTGGCGTTCTTTGCATAAAGAAAAAAGAAAATTGACTAATGTGGTTGTAGATAAACAATTCGGTGATCAACAACAGTTTGAAACAAACAAAAAAAAAAAAACATGTATGTCACAAAGCCAGTTGCGCGAAGGAGTGGGCCAAGCATGGTGAAGGGGAGCACATCATTTCAGTTGCACAGTGGCAGTTTTATTAAGATGAGTAATGATCTGGCTAATTATTTAGAGCGCACCTTTTTGGGGAAGCAGCACAAGAGACTTGGCTTCACAGAAAATCTCGATGCAGGAGCTGAAAGTCAGTTTGTATGGTATTAAGCTGCATTTGGTGAAAAATGCAATCGTAAAACTCAGACGTTTACAGCAGCTGTTTCTAGGCCTGTCACAATAACAAATTTTGATGGGCTATTAATTGTCTCAGAAATAATTGTGATAAACGATAATATTGTTTGAAATTTAACAATAATTAATTGTCAAATTTAAGAAGAAATGTTTTTTTTTTGGAGTGTAGTACCTTTTTTGACCACCCGATGGCAGTATAAGACTGTTTGAACCAAAGGATGGATAGTGAGGGAGTGAGCAGCGTGTCTCTAAGAAAAATGGGAGGGAGGGCCCTTGACACGACACGGGCTGTCTCTCCTTCCTTTTTTCCAGTTGTCAAAATGGCGGACGCTCGGTGTGGTTTGAGCAGTTTAGCATAGCATTTTTCCACACAAAGCTTTTAGTAAAAAAATCAGTAAACAAGTTTTCAGCTTCTTTTTACAAAGAAAAACTTTTTACATGAAGGCACGGGTTTCAACCGTGAATTTCGGAGCTTCGACAAGACAGAGTTTTTTTTCCCCAGAGATCGACCTGTTAGCTTAGCTCGTAGCTTAGCTGCTTTTAACGATCCAAAAACTCAATTTTGGACTGTTAAAATGGATTTTAAAGAGAAAACAGAAAGGGAGGGGTCAGTGAAAACACCGGAGTTGAGCCTTTTTTCATCAAGTGTCTTCAGTAGAACGAGAGACACCAAGAAACGATAAAGCTGATAAGTGAAAATGAGGTAGATAATTTTAATTCATCACGTAATTAATTGATTTGTTGTTTATTGCGACAGGTTTAGCCGTTTCTACATTCAAACTTAAGTTGTTTAAACTATTTCCATGCTAACTTTTTAAAATGGTTAGCTTTAACTTCTACATAAGTAAATATAGACTGGAAGTGCTTTAACAGGATTTAACAAACCATTATTTCCTATTTTGTGAATATTTTTACAATAATAGGCTGGGTAATTTGCATAAGATTTAAAAACATTCAAAATCAGGCAAACAGCTCATAAATCTCCTCTCTGATAAAACAAACGAGTTTGGACTCTGATCATAATTTAACTGAAGAAGGGCGAAGAAAAACCACGACTTGCAATGAAAGAGACACGACCATGACCGTTTCTAGAAACTTGGACAGAGAACTTGAGCAGAACAAGACAAGAAATATGACAAGAACATCATTCCACAAAGGAACTTTTCTTTTCTTTTCTTGCATGACTTAAAATAAATATGTTTAATGTAGATTAGTTTGGAACTACCGCTGTAGTTGCCTCTTACAAAACATGATGAGCACCCAGCAGAAAGATCCAAATAAGCTGAAAGTCAACAACATCACAAGTCTCTACACAAAACAGCTCATTAGTTTTGTCACATGAAAAACCTTGGTATGTGGTTCCTAGCATGGCCCCATCACATCTTGTTATTCTACATGATAATGAAAAAAAAAGTTAAAAGACAAAAATCACACTGAGCACATTGTGATATTTTTCCTCCCAGAAGGCTCTAAAGTCTTTGGTTCTAATGAGTTAAAGTGCTCTCATGGGTAAAGCTCAAAAAAAAAAAAAAAAAAACACTCTCAAGCGACCCATAACATCTAAAGCACTTTTTTTGTTTTGGATTACATGCGAGTGCCACATGTAGTCACGCTTTTTCTTTCAAAAAGCATCTTTTTTTTGTAAACCCCTGTTGATTATATCAAAAACAATCAACACAAACAGAAGTGACACGGCACCCTGATGTATTTTACTGCGGTGAGGGATTTGTACATTTGGAATAATGAAGTCAAACACAGCAGACAAACAGGCTTTTTTTTTCTGAAGGGAGCATTAGTTTTTGCCATCTGCAGAAAGAAACAGACAAACGGGAGGCCTCAAAAAACCGTTTTTATGCTGAACAAATTAGAGACATTCAAGTCCCGTTTGCGTTATCTGTTGGCTTTGCGTTCTCTAACAGACGAGCGGGCAGCCTCATACAGAAACGAGCGGGTTTAAATGTATTCAGAGGACGCCAGCGACCTTTGCGGGCGAGTCTCAGAGGTGTCTGTGGCACCCAGGCAGTTGGCATTATGTGACATTACACAACACAGAGCTTGACGCACACGAAAGCAACGGCAGCATTTTGTCTCGCAAATGCTGAAGTTCACGTATCGTCACTTGCAGGACGCCAAGTTGAATCAAGAAGAGGTACAAACAGAGAGAGGAGGCATTATATGACATTTAAATCCAAACCGTTATGCTGTTTTGAGCCTTAATTAAAATATATTCATCTTTAGCATCACACTTTAGACTGAGTCACCGCTGACAGATGCACCGACACAACAATACAGGGAGTTTCAGATCACAGCGGGGTCACGCACAGCTTATGTTCCGTCACTTCGAGCTGTACAAGGCGCTGAAGGGAGACAACTTCTTCCTCTTTCTGTTGATTTTTCTTTGCTCAGAGTCAAAAACAATGACAGATTTTTTGACTTTGTAGACAAACGCTTACCCACATCCAAATCTCACAAGGTTCCCACCATCATTCTGCGCTCACGACGAGCAGAAAACAGCCGGCTGCACAAGCCAAAGCCTGGTGTATATTCTAGAAAGTAAAAGCAGAAATTCAAGAAAAAAACCCGATCTATTTTTTGACATCCTCTGATTTCAGGGTTAGTATTTAGTTCTGACAAAATTGATCATCCCAATCAAACTGACAGGACAGACCCAAAGCACTGAGAATTGACTAAAAGGAGAGCTCTTCAATCAGACTTATACTGGGGACTGATAGGTTGTATGACTTATGGCACTTTGCCACTGTCTCAACTCTTATCGGTTCTGCACCACACCGCACCAGTTCAGGGCCTGTCCACTGTAGATACCAACCCCCAACTCAGCGCCGTTTATGGGACCACCTTGTCTGTGGTTCCAAACGTCGAGGTGACAACTTTGACATACGCAGACAGCAGCTGTTGATTGGCCGGCGGAGCTACGCCACTGGATGACCAGCCCAGTTAAACTGCAAACTACATCTGAACCTCCATTTCCTCTCCGATTGTGTTGATGGATGGCGCCACAAGAAATGAGCACATTTACAAAGAGATATATCAGAGATTATTACGTAGCATGGCTGCACCCGGACTTATAAGCAGTGCCGAGATAAACTAACGAAATTCAAGTCAGATTACAGGGCGATTAAGGACCACAGTGAACGGAGTGGCTCGAACACAATGACCTGTTAGGATCCCATCCACTTTGCATTAACAATCTCGCCCACAGTGCGGAGAAAACAAGTCACGGTGGCAAATCACCTAAACCTGAGAGGAACCGATAAGACGAGAGCCGAGTGGAGTCGCACTTATCAATGGAAAAGCAGCTTTAGCGAGCAGAGGGGCAGCTACTTAAATGAAGGGAAGCTGGACTCAGGAGAGCAGGAGTAAAGGCTTAAAGGACACTTGAGAGGAACTGTGCATCAGGAAGATATTGATGTCCAGTGCAGGACTGAGTCAAAGCTTTTTGCACAAACTGAAGTGAAACCCACTGACACACATTTGGCTCCTCATAGAAGAACAAAGAAGAAGAAGTTAAAAGATACAGTGGAGGGATTATACGTTTCTGACTTACCTGTCGCACCTCTCTGAACCACCAGGCTGGTCTCTGATCCCACAGCACACTCCTTGAGCAGATCCACAACCTGCGTGTGTGTGAGTCCCTGAACGTGCTGCTTGTTGATCTCCATGATCAGGTCGCCCTCAAACAGACCTGGGCATCCCTGCGGTTCCAGTATTTGTTTGACTCGCTGGCCCGTCATACTGTCTGCGATCGTAAAGCCAAACCCATCCACGCCCTTCACCATCGTCAGAGTCAGCAGCTCCCCCTGGGTGGGGCCTGATGACGCCATGGAGACGCTATCGGGAGGCGTGGTGCCGGTGGTGGTGGGAAGCGATCCGTCTAAGTGGGTGTCTCCTGGGTGAGCGGCGAAAATCTGATGCTGGGAATTCACTTGATCCTGATTGGGATCTGCGATGAAGCGCGACGAGCGGGTGAGATAATCCAGGTAGGTGTCGTAATCCGACCTGCCGTTCACCATGATGGGCCGCTGCTCCATGATGCCCAGCGGGGAGATGATGGTGGTGGTGTTGTTGGTGTTGGCGGCGTCCTCTGGGTCGTATGGTAAAGGATAGCCGCGACACAAAACGAGGGTCACGCTTTGCCCGATGGGTACAGACTGGAAGAGTTTAACTACATCGGCATGGGTGGTGCCCAGGACGCAGACATCATTTATGTAGACAATGACATCACCTGAGATGAGACAGAGGCAAACAGAGACAGGAGGAGGGAGTTTAATACCTGGAGCAACTCCACATTCCATTAAATAAACTGTTGTTTCTAAAATCGCTATAAAATTTGGTGCTAACGACTCAAAATTTTGTTTTCATACCGTTTCAGGAATTAATTTGTCTGAAGAGGAATCTTTTGAAAATTTGCTAAAACTACCAAAATGGATTGGGGAAAAAGTTTAGGTCGGGGAGGGCACCCGCATGCAGGACGAGTTAAACACAGGAAAGATCGAAGGCGAAGAAAGAGGATTTAAAGTCATAAAATAAATGTCTTCCTGACTCACTGATTGAGACAGAGATTTGGAAAATCAATGATTCATCGAGAGAATTATGGCACACACACAAAAAAATGAAGAACAATTTAATAAACCAAAAACTGGTAACTGAAACAGAAAGGCTGGGCTCCAAACACACAGATTAACTAGACCACAGGTGAATGCAGTCCATCAAATAAAGGAAGAAGGATATGAAACAAGATTAAATGCTTAAAAGAGAAGTAATGAAATGTGGTGGGTGGAACTGAATGCTAAAAAAAACAACGGTATAAGCTACAAAGGCTAATTAACTGATAAAAAAAAAATCAATGCATTATGTGGTCTTATGAATGCTAAGAAACAAATCAACAAACTGGAGTCAGATTCTAATTGCAAGTGGGAGTCCATACGCAATTATCTGCTGCTAAAGAGCAGGCAGGTTGTTTCACTTTGATTATGCTCCAGTGGAAGAAAGTTTCACATCATCATCATGTTACCAGTGATTTATCAAGACTTTCCTACAGCTGGTCTAATGCTCAGTCATCTGTATTTTACCTCTCCAACAGCTGTAAACAGTTTCCACAGATAAACACCACAGATATGGTCTTATCAGCCTTTCAAGTGTAAAACAGAGCAGATGACAAGTGGCTAAAATGTTTGCCTTTTATGGGTTCCAAGTGCTTTTTATTTGCCCGCTACAGGACGCTGCGCTGTAGATAAAACCGAGCACACAAATAAACGTTCCCGCATGAAAGAACCCCACATTCTGGCTCATCTCCGCCTCGGCCTCATGACTAAATATAGTGTTTTACGCTTCACTGTGGAGGGACTGAGCAGGTCTGGGTGGCAACTGGGAAAAGAGTCGATTTTAAAGTCTAACAAACAGCAACACCTGGTCAAACAGGGAAAACACTTGTTTTCTAATTGTAGATGGATTGTCAAGCTCTTTAGAGACAGAGGATAGTGACTTTCTGAAAAACAGAAAATCTGATTCAAAAAGTTTAATTTATGCCCAAGTGATTAGTCCTCGCTTTGTAAAGCCCCACCGATAAAATACTCTTAAAACTCTAGCAGCAGACTGTAGAAGCATTAATGGAAAGATCAACTAGGAAGTTCCTAGAGAAACTTTTAACAGGTACTGCCATGTGGCAGCCATTTCAACTTTTTAATTCGGGACTGCCTAGAAAGGCAGCCACCTATTATTATTCACCTGACAAGGGTTTCTTAACTTTATATCTTACTCTTCCGTCAACTTTAATGCGGCCCGAACTGCAACGTGTATCCCCACAAATGTTATATCAAGACAACTGGCTTAGCACCGTGATGTGCGCCATTACTTTTATTAGTGTTTCAAGTTACCATGGTAACATAATTCGCAAACAAAGGCTAAATTTTTCTCATTGAAAACACCTGTCGGAACTCCAAAATGGCTGCCACGCGGCAGTGGGTTGGGGTTCGCTCTCAGCTGCCAGCATACCCCATTACAGCTCAATACGGAGAAAAACAACGTAAAATCAATGAGTTATAGTATTTTTTTTCTTTTAAGTTATGGTGGCCATTTTGGATTTTTTATTTGGATTCAGTATGAGATGAGGAACGTTCTCAGCTATAGTCACACTAAATATCTGCTCTATATGTGAAGAAATAGCTGAGGTAAAGCAATTTAAATTTAGCTTTGGCAGCCATCTTGAATGGTTTATTTGAATTCAGGATTTATTGGGCATTGCTCTCAGCTACCACCACAGGAAATTTCAGCTATATGTCTTTTAAAATAGCGGAATTTATTTATTTTTTTGTGAATTACATTGCCATGGTAACACGAAATGCCAATAAAAGTAATAGCATACATCACGGTGCTGGTCGGTCGTTTCAGTATAAAATTTGTGGGGGTACACTTTGCGGATCGGGCTGCATTAAAGTTGATAGAAGAGCAAGACCTTTTTCAGGTGGATAATAATAGGTGGCCGCCTTTCTAAGCAGTCCCCAGTTAAACTTTTTATTTCGTAATTGGAGGGATAAGGCTAAATTGTGCTGGATTTATTTTGCATCGACTGCTAAGTGTAGGCTGAAAGCTAAAGCCGCCCGAGTAACATGACTCAAAGTGATTGGGAGTTAAGATATCACCTGCTCTCCCTCTGCCGCAGACGAACCGGTTTCCAGGTTTCAACGCTCCGCTGGCATCGACAGAGCGAGCGCACGCCTCGAGGTGACACAACGTGAGGGACTTTTTAATTAATCAGAGTAAACGCGGCCGACATTTGCCTTGAGCATTTGAGTCAGAATCAATAGTTTGAGCGCACCGGCAGAAAACAAATGATGCTGCTGTGACGTCACGGTGCTCCACTCTGCCCTGCGTATCTCAAGAGTTTCAAACCAGAATGGAAAAGCAGCTTTAGAGACATTAAAGTATGAGCCGGTCTCAGACAAAAAGGATGTAAAATGTGAATAAAATTATCCAAAATGAGCACAATCGCCAACACAGGTGTGGATAAAAGGGAAAAGAGAAATTGAGGCATTAACACGGAGAACAAAAGACCAAAACACATTAAACAGTCCCCGGTCTGTCCATTCAAACATTTTCTACAAGTTTTTGTGTCGATTTCAAGTCATGCTGACCTCAACTGTGTACAGCATGCTCCCAGCTGAGTCACCTTTAACCGACCCATCCATCTTTACACATTTCTTATAACATCGCCGTCTAATTGTGCGCTCAGGAGTGAGTCAGCGTACCGAGTGCTCTCTGTGTCCCTGCTGAGATGATGAGGCCATGATGACAACAGTTAAGACTCCCAGCAGGGTACAGGCTTTCCATAGAGATTGTGTTTATTGGGTGATTTTAAAGTCTGTCAGCTTTAATATGGTGACATGCTGTCAAATGGGCATTACGTCCACTTTGCAAACCAAATCTTTTTCCACATTTGCTGGTATAAAAGGAGGCGATTGGTTTGCAAAGCTTCAGTTGCTTGGGTACTGCAACCAGTAAGCTCCTACACCATAATGCTGCATTAACCTAATAACTAATTGTAGTAGCTGAATAATCATATAGCATTAATTCATTTCAATTCAGTTCAAAAATACTTTATTAATCCCAGAGGAAAATTAAATGTTGTTGTAACTCGTTATCCTCGTTTGATTAAGAGACGTTAAAGATACTGATGGCTGTAGACAGGAAGGATCTCTTGTAAAGGTTTGTCCCACAGCGAATCCAAAGAAAGTGACCGCAGATGCTGTCCGATCCGGCCACCCTGACTCGACTGGCCTCTGGTTATCCCAGGCTGCAAGATCGCCCGAATGTCAGGCAGAACTCCTCCCAGCAGCCCACCGAGCTCCTCTCCGCTGCGGACAGTCAGCTGCAGGTGCCGGGGGACGATCCCGGTCCTTCTGCTGTCACGAGCCGTGTCTCCTGCCAGCTCCGGGATCTCAGTGGTCAGGCACTCGAGAACATCCAGCAGGGAGATGGGAAAGCATCCACGGAGCCTCCTTTTCAACTCATTTGAGATTTGGGGCTGTAACTGAGATATATGAACTTAATCAGGTGCTCCCGATAGTAAAAACTGCCTTGTTGTCATGGTTACGCATCATAACAAATGTCCAAAAGTAAATAGGTTTCAGTAAAAATCCTTCCAGCTGCACAGCATCCGATTCCAGAGGAAACAACCATCTAAAAAAAGGTGTTTTACATCCAGCAAAAGAGGAATTAATGTTCCCAAAAGTAATATCTCAGAATGAAAGTAACAAAGCTACTCCAACATGCAGCCACCCCGAGTGGCACAATTCTAGATTGCTTTTACCCACTTCCTAAGCCAAGAATGGCTTTCATTGTTTGAGGTGAAAAATAGTTTAGATACTCTGCTTCCTAAAATGTGACCAAGATATGGGTTCAGCTGAAGCATGCTCCATCCACAGGGTCAATGTTTTAATGATAAACCCCAAACTAAGAAGGCTATAAATATCAGACAAACCATTAAAGTACAAGTAGCTCTGACCATTATCATTATGTTTTAGACCGAGGTAATGCGCTGCAGGTGCTGCCTGTTATTGAGATACGAGAGAAAATCTAAACTTAATTTACTCAAATGCTCTTCCATCTGTTTTAAAACTATTTTTGCTTAACGATGAATGAAGATAAAACTGATTATGTCCATTTTTTGTCCGTCCAGCCTCTATAATTGTACATTCAAAATGTTACCATTAACCTGCGATTTTCATCAGTCTTCCTTTAAGCTCACTGTGAAAACATGACCTGCATGTACAGATAAGATGAGGCAGTTTGTTGAATTTGATGCACTTTGTGCTAAACGTTATTGCTGTTCTGTCCGTAAAAAAAAAAAAAAAAAAGCTTTAAAGACAGAAGTGATATCTTTTTAAAGAATTTGTGCACATTCTTTTGCTTTTCATAAGAACGTGTACAGACTCGTCATACAGAAATGGTAAAAATGGCAGCCTTATCCAAACAGAACAGGCTCTGCAGTGTGAGGAGGCAGTACAGCAGAAAGCCCCTCTGGCGCCGAGAGAGAGTTAAAGCAATTAGGCTTCCCAGTTTGAAGCCTGTTGTTCCAACAGACCCCCTAATTTCACTTTAAACACTGCTTCTAGCTCTAAAACTGAGCCGCTCAATGTCAAGCAAAGGCAACTTCTTGCTCAGTACTTTACAACTATCATAGCTCACATGTTATTGTTGAGTAAACCAAATAAAATTAGTATTTTTTTGTAATTTGTTACAGGTGTAAAATCAAAAAGAAGCCTTTCTTTAATGTAAAGTAAAAGTAAAGCCCCCCACAAGTGATTAGGTGGAAAGACAAAAATCATAAATCTAATCTGAAAATGGGAATTTCACACCCCTTCCAGGTCTGAGCTCCCTCTGTGTGATCTTTTGAGTAGCTGTGAACGTGCCGGCTCTGCTGCTGCAGAAGTAGGACACATAAAGTCTAAGGAGGCAAAGCAGGGGGACCGAGCGTAGCTGGTGAGATGAAGACGAAGATGAGCTGATGGGAGGACGAGACAGACTCATGGAGGAGGGACTGCAAGTTATTTTTAGGCAAAGTATACATAAAAAAGAGGGGATTTTTATAATGAAACAGGAGAACGGGGAGAGACGATAGAAATAAAACGGTTCAGAAGGCGAAAAGCTTTATTAGTCAACCAGGGATTTATTTTTAGCCGGTGCTCCAACTCATTAATAAAATAATAAAAGAGGACATTAATGTTTTGAAATAAATCTTCCATGCTATCTAAGAGAAGTTTCAATTTTTAGAGAGAAAACTACGCATGAGAGCAGAGGAAACTCACTTTTCAGCTTGTATTTATTAATTTTTATGTAGCGTATGCACGATAAATAACCACTATACTGTTATTTCCTGCACTATGTACCAATAGACACATCAGCACAGTTACTTTTCTTCCCTTGACCTTTTAGTGCAGATGGATTGTCTATGTGTGTGTGTGTGTGTGTGTGTGTGTGTGTGTGCGTGCGTGCTCCAGTTCCAACCCCAAGTGGCTGCAGTCAGGAGTTATGGGGCCCATAAAGTCCACTTCATGATTAATGGAAGAAGAAAGATGCACAGTTGGTGCACAGGTATGTGCATATTTCCACATGGAGCTTAAACACTGCAGACAGATGAGCTGCAGCAACACACGTGTTAAAGCGGACAGTTTAACAGCATGTTTGAATGAGAAGTTGCGCTTGTCATTTCATCTGAACAAGAAGCAGCACATCTTCCTGTATGTGAACTCCAATGTGTGTTTTGTGTAGATCCAGGTGGGTTTCTTTAAAATCCAATCCCATGTTTCTATCTCATTTATAAGTCTACACATTTATCCAGATTATTAGATTAACGGCGATTAACTGTCTAGATGTGGTGCAAAGACAAGCCCTCATTCAAACAGCTGCACCTCAGAACAGAAATCTTGCCTTCATTACTCAAGAACATCCAGATTTTGTTGAACATCTTAATTTAAGGACTATTGTTTTTAACCATCCCATTATTACTGATTAAAAAAAGAGGCCACTTGTTTTATCTAAATAAACTGCTAGTGTTCCTACAAAATAAAATAAACTCTAAAGTAAAGTTCTGTTTTGAATTAATATCCAAAAAAGTTTTTTGTATATTTTGTTTTATATGATTGTGACAACTGAAGACTAAAGTGCAGTAAAACTGCATGCTAAAGTGACATCAAAATTGCACCCATTAAGGAAGAAAGGAACTACGAAATGCACATACAAAACATGTGATAATGTGACATTGATATGAGGATTATTAAATGTTTTGTATGTGCATTCCGTAGTCCATTGCTTTCTTAATGGGTGCAGAGCAGACTTGAAATATGACCTGTAGACAACATGCCTGTAGTTTGCAATGCAGACATGTTCCTGTTTTTAGTATTCTACACCACCTTACAATCTAGCTGCTTTTTCTCTACTTTTCCTTTTAATTATCCTTTTATTTTCACTTGGAAAAAAAAAAAAATGTACGCATCCTTCATGAGCGTCTATTGTTGTCGTTGTTATCCACTGTTGTCATCACTCTTTGTTAAGAACACAGGTCTCTCTTGTAAATGAGTCCCCGAGGCTCAATGGGATAAACCTGTCTAAATAAAGTCAGAGTCAGAGTTTCATTATTGTCATTCACACCTCATGTGGTACATGTGGTGGAGCGAAATTATGTACACACGGTCCCAGTTACATCCAACAATAAAATGTAAAAGAAAAACAGTAATAACATCTAACATATGTTATAAAGGTTGAATTTATAAAGGTTGTATGAATGAAAAAGTTTGGATGATCTAATCAACATAGAAGCTGAACTAGTGCCATTAGGTTTACTAACTGATCCCAATTAAACTTTTACCTAGTCAGTTCAAGAGCTCTGACAAATACGTTTGATGCTCCAAAAACCTGTTTGAAAGAGGGATTGAGACTGAATGTTGATGAAATGGATAAGTTTTAAATGACAGTGCTGTCAGTTTCTGCATCTTATCACCCTGCTGTCAGGCCTAGTCTTGCAGATGCTCGCCTTCTTTTTGGCAGTAATGCAAGTGATGGTTTTGGTTTATATGTATAAATATATATATATATATATATATATATATATATTTATTTTCATTTTCATTTACCCTTTATTTATCCAGGTAATGTCATTGAGCCACGATAACTCATTTTCAAGAGGGACCTGTTTAGGGAGCGGATGGTGGGGGTTAAGGGCCTTGCTCAGGGGCCCAGAGTTGGGCGAATGGGGGTGGAGGAAGGTGTGGGTGTTCCACTTTTTCCACCCACATTTTGATGTTGACGGTACCGGGTGTTGAACCTGCGACGTTCCGATCGTTCCGATCACAGGCCCATCTTCTAACCTCTTGCGCCACCACTCCCCAAAAAAAAAAAAAAAAAAAAAAAAAAAAAAAAAAAAAAAAAAAAAAAACATATACATACACATATAAACAAGCAAAAACAAAAAAACAGTTCATTCATTAAGACTGACAGTTTTCTCTGAACAGTCACTGTTGAAATATTCATGTTTGTTTTGATGTATTTAGCCTCATCCATGAGGAAGCTCTATAAGGTTGATATCTACAGATGGATGACTCACTCCAGTTCATCTAAAGGGAAATCATTTGTTGTACTAATGATTTCCCTGATTCAAGACAGTGATGGCAGCTAACTGACCTTCCATCCAGAAGGCTTCATCAGTCAAGGAAACACACAACACAAAAACTGATTCTTCCCCCAAACAGCTTAACTAAGTGGAACAAACCAGTTATGTTGGTGCTAAGATGGTGTCTTTGGCATCAGTTTTGTGTTGTGCGTTTCCTTGACTGATGAAGCCTTCTGGATGGAAGGTGAAACGTTTCAGCAAAAAAAAGAAACTGTCCAGATGACCTGACTGAAAATGGTTGGCTAATGTTCAATATTTTTCATGTCAGAATGAATGAAATCATCAGATCTCAGCCAAAAATCTGGTTATAAATATGGGAAAAAAACGTATATTAGTAGCTTTGATGTATAAGTCGCAGGGCTTCCAAATTTATGCAAAAAAGTGCGACCTATATGGCAAAAAATACGGTATACATTGACATACAGAGTGAATAGTGAAAAAAGTCACATCAAAATGTACTTGTTGCCATCACCGTTAAACTGGCTTACATCTGGGAAAAAAAGGCTTTTATTTGTAGGAGTGACAGTTTAAGTGTCGCACAGACGATGTGTCAGGCACGCCTGGAGCTCACCTGTGGCCATCTTTCCATCAGCTGCGGCGGGCCCGTCAGGAATAACACTTTTGACCTGGAGGAATTCATCGGGCTCGTCGCCTCCGATGATGGTGAAGCCGAAGCCCATGTTGCTCTTTTGGAGTGACGTGGACAAGAAGCTGCCTTTCAGCTGAGTGGGGTCCCGAGTGAACAGCGGCTTTTCTGCAAAGGATGCAAAGAAACAAATTAGCCGATACAAACCTTTTGACTAAAAGGCTTTAAAGCAGGCGCTGAGAGGACATTAAAGCTGGAGCTGTGCTTAGAGGGTGAGGGGCATGGGTAATTATTTAAAATAAGCTGCAGGAAAACTGGCACACTTGGACACAGGTGGGACCGTGGTGTTGACAGACGCAGGTGGAGCTCAGTCATTTTGGCTCTTGTGCAGGGTACAAATGCAAAACAAACCTAAACTTATCATCCAACTACTTCTCCAAAGCTGAGAGGGCGTGCAGAGGGGAACAGTGGTGCAGGTCTTTACTCCAAACCCAAGCAGGAAAACGCAGCGAATAACATGCTCTCAGCCAGGAATCAGTTCCACAGGAGGATGCTTGGGGAAGTTCAGGGAAGAACTGGGAGATTTCTGAAGGAGGGAGAACTGGGAGCGCCTTGAGTAGTAATGAGGAGATCTAAGCCAACAAGCTTAGTCACACTTTAGCAAGTCTTCTTTTTTTTTGCACCTGGGAAAGGAGTCGTGGCTAACATGAGAGTTTACCTCCTTTGTTTGTCGTCACTGGTTCAGATTCAAACTGAGTGATTACCCTCTCTGTTTGCTTATGCACAGAGATAAAACCAGTCAATATGCACAGTCATTGCACAAATCCCTAAAACTGCCTCATGGGAAAAGCTTGCTTTGCGAGTTTGCATGCTTACAGGAAGTCAGTAGCGCAGGCAGCCACAGGAATGAGAGCTAGCCCCCTCCCGCCCTCTTCATCCTTCTTTGCCTACTTACTGACGATGCGCCACAGGGAATAGGGTGTGCAGAGAGGCTGCTCTAGCACCACCGTGCAGGAGGAGGTGTGATGCTGCTGGTGGCGGGGGCAAACATTCATCTGCCGAGTCAGAACGCTTCGCAGCGGGGACACGTCAGCGGAGGATGGCGCAGCATACTGAGGAGCTCTGCGACCAAGAGTCGGGGAGCGGGAGAGGTCGCCGAGGCTGCGGCAGCGCTCAGGCAGCGGGGTGACCTGGCTGCGGGGGGGTCTGGGGAGGGTGGCACAGGGTGTGGCATCCTCCACTGGTAATAAAGTTAAAAAAGGGAAGGAGGAGGGAGAAGGTGGAAGAAGAGACGAGCACTGAGAGAGAGTCTGACTGGACTGTACACACAGGGTTACCACGGAGAACGGTTCTTGACTCAGGGTGGTGCTCTACTTGTTACTACGGAGAAAAAAAAAAACACTTCACAGTCCAGCTTTCTTTCTAGCAGCACTGATGTGAATGAGAGGGTGAGAAATGAAACCAGGTCGCAACAAAACAGTCATTAAACAAAACAGTAAATCACTTTTAAAGCCACCTGTTCAAACTGATAGATGATCAAGGGGACCTATTCAGTTTATGTCTTTTTAGAGGTTTTAAAATGTCACAGAGTTGTTATTTTAAAACAATACAAGTTTTATAAGTCTATTATTTGAGAGAAGGTCTTTAAATGTTCAAACAAATGTATCTTTAAGATATTAAGTGTTGCAAAGCTACAGCTGAACACACATATTTCATTTCAGGTGTATGGCGTGAGTAGATTTAGCAACACGTTGACTTAAATCTAGGAAATTTATTGACCTGTAATCTAAATATTTAATTTCTTTAGGTTACACTTATATATATATATATATATATATATATATATATATATATATATATATATATATATATATATAGATATTTATATATGT